GGATACTGTTAAAGAGAATCTTACATTAATGCAATTATTAGATTAATTATCTTTTAGTATATGGTCTGATATGCATATTATTATATCATAATTATCATTATTTTTTATTATATAGTGCCCGAATCATATGGGCTGGAGCCAATGTATAATAAAATAAACAAACTTTATTTAAAAACATAATATTTTAGGTTTTTTATTTTATTTCATATATATATATATATATATATTATAACACAATCTTTTGATAATTATTTTTATTTTTTATTTCTCACTTTATAAAAATGTTTCTAAATATATAGATAAGAATTTGAGAAACAGAACAAATATTTTAAAATATATATATGAATATTTAATTTTTTTTACATTATTATATTAATAATTATGTCTCTAAACTTTCGAAATTTTTAATAATACTTCTGTGAGTTTTAATATTATTTTTAAATTAAAAAAAATTATTAATATCTTTCGACTTAAAAGAAATATAAAAAAACGTTTATCTCGATTTTTTAAATTATTTCTAAATTTTTTAACTTTATTTTTTTAAAGTTGAGGAACACTTTTGAAATGTGTACTATCATTATAAACGAATTATAAGAACATATATATTTTTTATTTTTTAAAAAATTTAAATGAATTTTATTTCAAAGATTTTAAAAAAATTTAAAATATTGAAATTTTAAAAGTTCAGGAATATTTTTTTTAGACCCGCCTCATAATTATTAATTTTACTATTTGTATTTTTTTTATATAAAAAAGAAAAAAAAATAGAATAATTTAGATGGATAAGTTAATATTTTAATAAATGCATATATGGGTCTACATATTTCATATACTGTGCAATCTTTGACATTAATTTATGTAAAGAATTTGATATTTGAATTTTATTATTCTCTTCTAATATTAGTGGTTGGATTCAAGCATTTATTTTCTTTTGTGAATTAAATGTGCTTATTATTTAATTATCTCAATTCATAAATTATTATATAAAATTAATTGACGTCTATACTTGATATAGAGATTTCACAACATGATAAAAGTCTAATTTATTGATGTAAATGTCAATTAAAGTTAAATAAATGAATTAAAGTCTATTTATTCATTTCAATAACATGTTTAATTAGAAATTTGACTTTGATTAGTTGATGAATCGATAATTTGAATAATTATTTTTATTGTTTCGTTTTTGTAATAAAAATAATTTATTATCTATGTAATACATAGTTGGTGGGATCCACAAATTTCGTGATATAAAATATTTTTTTTAATCCAAGGGTAATATTGTAATTTTTGAAATAAGAAATATAATGCTTCTCGTGTGAAGGATTTAGAATTGGATTTGACCCCTGGTAATCTTGACATTCTCGTGCATCCCTGGCGACATGGCCACGTTATCTAATTGCCTTGAAATACTTTTGAGAGTGACGATTAACTGTATATGTGAGATCCCACATCGATTGGAGAGGGAAACGAGTGCCAGAAAGGACGCTAGGTCTCGAAGAGGGTGGACACCAAGCGGTGTGCCAGCGAGGACGCTGGGCCCTGAAGGATGGTGGATTGTGAGATCTCACATCGATTGGAGAGGGTAACGAAACGTTCTTTATAAGGATGTGGAAATGTCTCCTTACCAGCATTTTAAAAACCTTGGGAGAAAGCCCAAAATAGAAAGTAGCAGCGTTTTAAAAACCTGGAGAGAAAACCCAAAATAGAAAGCGCAAAGAAGACAGTATCGACTAAGTGGTGAGCTTGGGATGTTACACTATATATTAAACCTTTTAACATGGTTCCTATAAAAGTTTTCAAAAAATCCTATAATTAAGCTACCAAAAAGAAATAAACTTGTTGGTATAGATAATAATTATCAACGTTCTCTTACATCTCTTACAACATGATTACGCTACCTACTTGACTTAAACTATTTCTAAGATTGAAAACTATCAATCCAGACCAACACACAATCATCATATCCTCGTGATCTTCATTCATATATTCCTCCCATACTCAAACGTCACAAAAACGGTAATATTGCAACTTTTGAAAGATTACTGTGAATGTTTGCTGAATCCACCACACCTAAATGGTGTGAAAGTTATCTTATTTATAATCAAATAAATTACAAGGATATGGAAATAGTAATAAATGGAAATAACAATAAATGGAAAGATACCTGTAGTAATAAGGCAAATGTTAGATATTTGCCTTATAATAAAATATCAAATCTAATATATATGGTAAACTATAATTTATTACTAAATATCCTTAACACCCCACCGCAAGCTAAGCGTCGGATTTAAACGAACGTGAAGCTTGAATCTGAAAAATTCAAAGAGGTTGAGAAACACTTTTCGTGAAGATGTTAACAACCTGGTTCAGAGGAGGCGTAGAGAAACACTTTCTTGGCCATCGAAAACTGCAGAGAGATCGCCGCTCAGCGGCGATGCTGCCTTGGCTTCGGTGAGAATATGTCTAACCCATGAAGAGGGATTGTCGCTTAGCGACGATGCTGACTTGGCTCTGGTGAGAATATGTCTAACCCCAAGAAGTAGCAGGGGAAACCTAGAGCAAGGGACAAAGACAATGTTGAAGCCGGAAGAGTCGCCACATTGGGGCGAAGGAGCCAATTTTGGCGAGAAGGGCAGCTGGAAGAGTCGCCACATTGGGGCGAAGGAGCCAATTTTGGCGAGAAGGGCAGCGGCAACTTGGTTGGCAAAGATGCCAGTGCGGCGCCCAGATTCCAAAGGTAAATCTCTGCAGAAGGTCAATGGGCTTATTGAGATTCTGTATATTTTCGAAGAGGAATGCTGATGAAGATCCTAAGATTAGGGTTTTTGTGAAGGATGAAGAAAAATTGGGAAGAAAATGAAAGAGGCTATGTTTGGAAAAGGTGAGGTTGTATGTACAGAGTATGGCGAAGGATGATTTGGAGGTCAAAAAGGTGGAGCCGAAGAATAATCAATCGACTCTGCATGTGACAGCCATGACGACTGCCCCTGCGGCATCAAAGACAACAGTGGTGGTGGAGAAGAACAGTAGAAGATTTCAAAAGCCATTGAAAAGAAAGGATCTAGGTTGCTAAACCAAAATGGCTCTGATACCATGTGAATGTTTGCTGAATCCACCACACCTAAATGGTGTGAAAGTTATCTTATTTATAATCAAATAAATTACAAGGATATGGAAATAGTAATAAATGGAAATAACAATAAATGGAAAGATACCTGTAGTAATAAGGCAAATGTTAGATATTTGCCTTATAATAAAATATCAAATCTAATATATATGGTAAACTATAATTTATTACTAAATATCCTTAACAATTACAATGACGTGGTGGTTAGACAATGAAGATTTGTTAAAAAATGATAATATGTAGTACCTGACTGGATTCTGAAAAAAAAAATTGTCCGCTAACAACTTTTCACCATTAAATTTAGTAAAACATTCCACAATTGTCACAATACGATGGCCTCAATGAACACAATGATAATAAATTAAACGATTTTTCTTAATTATTATTTAAGTAGGAGCGAATATTATTTTAATTACTATTTAAAATGGATATTGTGGAATATAAATCTTGAGATTTAATGAATATTTTCTCCTATTAGCATAAATAAATAAATAAGAAAAAGATGAAACATAATGAATCTTTTTTAAAAGCTAAGAAAAAGGGTACAAAGGAACAAAAGATTTTTGACAAGAAACCATTTACTAAATTTTCTTTGCTTTCTTCCATTCCTTCCAATATCTCAATTTCCATTCAACACATAATATTCTCTTCAAATAATAAAGCAAAGCTAGAAATGGTCATAAAAGGAGGGTAGGTCCCACAAATTAAAGCCCTTTTTTTTTTTATTAAGAAAAAAGAATGTAATTTATGTTTCTCATAAGAGTAGCAAACATGTCCCACAAAATAGGGATATGACGTTTTGTGGAGAAATTTGGTGGGTTTTGCCATTTGATTGTGACATAATTAGTGAATAATTACATGTTTATGAATTATGCCCTTTGTTGTAATTGAGAAGCAAACAAAAGATTATCCTTTACTAATAAAGGTGGGTTGTTTATTTCATGTAATTCTTACCTAAACTTTCTATTAATATTGGTCTATACATTAGGTTGTCTTCCACCATGGTGAAATAGCTAAAAAGGGAGTTGTTTTATGAATAAAGCGTACCTATTTGTAGCCTTATTGAATAGCTAAGAACTCATTTCCCGAATAACCAAGATAAAAGTATATAATCAATTTGAATATAGCTCAAAAGATAAGATAAGACATATATTACCATAAAAAAAAGAAAAGATCAAGATCGGTCACCTATGCCTATGTTCGAACTTAAAGAATGGATATGCAAAATTGGGGTTCGAACTTTTAGATTTTTTATTATGAACTTTACACTTTGAGAAAGAATTATTGTAGTTGTTGATTTTCATAGATTATTTACTAGACGACTCTACTTAAGAACTATATAATATAATTCTATATGTGACCTCAAAGAAATGTGTGCATGTATTAAATTAACAATGAAATGATTTATGATATAAAAAAATGACAAAAAATCGAATAAAAGAAAGTAATGAATAATAAATTGATTTATGAAAAGAAAAAATATTTGATAAGAAAAACTACTATGAACACTCATACCTTGGTGGATCTAAAAAGTTTTAAACTCAAATAGATCAACTTACCTGATTAACGCTATCCATAGCCAAGGATTTGATGGAAATGCATGAGCGAGCAAAAACAGGCATTTCTCTGCATTTTATTCTGTTGGTTTAACAACAAAATAAGTAATTACCGTTTGTAATAGTCCGAGATCACCGCTAGTAGATATTGTCTGCTATGGCGTAATGTCAACCTCACAGTTTTAAAACACGTCTACTAGAAAGAGGTTTCCACACCGTTGCAAAGAATGCTTCGTTCCCCTCTTCAACCGATGTGGGATCTCACAATCCACCCACTTTGGAGGCCCAGCATCCTTGCCGGCACACCGCTCGGTGTTTGGCTCTGATACCATTTTTCGATTTATGCGTGTCATCTTTGCCCAAGGACCATGCTAATCTTCTTTGTATCGTTTTGATCGGATGTCCCCCGAATATGAAGACAGAAAATGAGAATCATAGAGCCAATTTTATGCAATGTGCATTTGGAATTCACCTGTTTATCAGCATAAAATTTGGCCAGAATATTTACATGTTACATCTAACTACTACATCTATGAATTATCCACATCCCATATCATCACTCTTGCAAGAAGGTTCCCCGCTGATGATCGAAAAACACGCAGCTCGAGAACCTTAACAATAGGCTAACTATATGCTAGGCCTGCATAAAGTATATACACATTTAACCATTGAGTCAACTGTATTCATCTACTCCTTTTCTTTTCGTATCGTATCGTTCGCAAAATAAAGCAAAAAAGTACGCTCGGGAGTGGATCAATCAATCACTAACCTGATAGCTGGACAATACCTTATAGCCAAAAGCTTCAATGCAACTTGTGGTGAGACCCCAGGTATGACGATAGAACTCGGACTTTAATGCGCTTCGGCCCACACTCAGCAGCAGGGAGAGGTTTGTGTGAAGCCTTTCCCTGTTCATGCCAGAACATTTCTTTACTGTGCCGTTCAAGTTGTTGTCTACTCCCTCCTTCCCCAATGCTGAATCTCTTTAACTTTAAAGAGATGGGAATGGTTGTTCTGCTAGATCTATCTACAAAGACACTATCTTTACTGGTAGGAAACACTTTGGAAACTGACTTGTCAGCTTTGCAACAAACTGATGACATTAATTGACCACACCTCGTGTGTGGATGGAGTTTTTTCAGTCTTTTGAGACCCTAGTAGAAAGAAACATTTGAGATCAGTCAGCATACTCTACAACTTCAAATATTCAACAGGCTCAACATTAGTTTTTAGTAAATTGTTCTTAATAAGTAAAACATTATGTATATAATTAGACCAAAAGTCAAATGACTATTGGTGACAAGACCACCACCGCTAACAGATATTATCTACTACGGCCCGTTACGTATCGTCGTCAGTCTCACGGTTTTTAAACCGTGTCTGTTAGAGAGAGGTTTCCACACCCTTATAAGAAATGTTCCGTTCCCTTCTCCAACCGATGTGGGATCTCACAATCCACCCCCCTTGGGGACCCAGCATCCTTCCTGGCACACTGCTCGGTGCCCGGCTCCGATACGATTTGTAACAACTCAAGCCCACCACTAACAGATATTATCCGCTTTGGCCCGTTACGTATCGTTGTCAGACATCGGGCGGTGTGCCAGCGAGGACGCTGGGCCCCAAGGGGGGTGGATTGTGAGATCCCACATCGGTTGGAGAGTGGAATGAAACATTTCTTATAATGGTATAGAAACCTCTCCCTAGTAGACGTGTTTTAAAAACCTAAAGAGGAAGCTCGAAAGGGAAAGCCCGAAAGGGAAAATCCAAAGAGGACAATATCTGCTAGTAGTGGGCTTCGGCCGTTACAATTGATTCATTAGCGGAAACATAAAGGGAGAGGTTATAGCCGAAAGCGATGAAGTATCTTTCGACAGAATAGCATAGACATTGACCAATAGTTTCTGGTTTGAGAAGAAGTACAATGACTAAAATGGATATTTTGAAAGTATAGGAGCAAGATCATTTTGAAAGTATAGGAGCAAGATCATTTTGAAACTGCATGAACTAATATGAACTAAAACCAAAAGTACAAGGAGTCCATGATCAAAGTTGTATTAAAACCAAAAATATATTTCTACTCACAATTAATACCAAACCTTTCAGTTAATAAAATTATCGAGATTAAATTTTACAGCACTCAGTACACATGCATTATATAGTCATGATATCAATAGCAAAGAGTAAGAAAATCTTAGATATTAAATTAGAGCGTAATCGAATGCAATTCTATCCACAGTACCTGTTGAGTAGACTGCTTTATCCTGTTATCATTCGTGATGTTCTTTTTCACCTTCAATGATCGACGCTTAACTCTAAAAATCTCCATGTCTGAATCATCATCATCATTCTGATCCGTCCGAGGTTGAATATGTGATCCTGAGCAGTTCTTCCCTGACTGAAGGGAAGGAAAAGACTCGCATGTATAGCACAACACTTGAGAGAAAGTGGGGGCTTCATGGTTTCCTAATTCGTTATAAGCATGTTTCTGTATCTGCTTAGAAAGAAGCAACAAGTGACATTTCAGTTAAACCAGAATGTGAGCCTTCCTCCAAATTCTGGAGAGTCTCAGTGTGAGTTCTCACGTCGGTTGGAGAGGAGAACGAAATACCCTTTATATGGGTGTGAAAACCTCTCCTTAGTAGACGTGTTTTAAAAACCTTGAGGGGAAACCCAAAAGGGAAAGCCCAAAGAAGACAGGGCTTGGGCAGTTACACTCAGTAAAAGATTGTGAACAAGAAGAAAAGCAGATCTCAAGAAAACAACTAAATCTTACATTGTTTGGCTTAGGACTACGTAAAGCCTCAGACATTTCAGTACTTAATATGTCAGCGGCACCACTCGCCATAGCCTGCTTAGTTTTAAAACCTTCGTTCTCTTGTGAATAACTACCAACAACTTCTTCGAGCTCAGGGTTCAACCGAAATGTCACCGAACAGTACGCATTGTAACCCTCTTCTTCAGCTTTCTGAAACAAATTGGACAGTGGATAAGAATATAAGTCCTGATTACTTTTGGTTCGCTCAAGCATTTCCTCTAAAATTCTTCCTTCCTTTTCAAACTTCCTGGCTGCAGTTTCCATTTCTGAAATGTCCTCCCTCAAAACCAGTGTATGATTTCTCCCACATGAAAAGTTAATAGAATCAAAATCTGGGTGGGCAATCAAGGTAAGCATAGGAATTAAAACAGAACAATGAATATTAATATCATTTAATGGACGTAATTTGTATGTTCTTTGTTCTTTTTCTTCATATTGTTGCAGGCTGCTATCGTAATAATTAATAAACAGATGAAAATTTGCAAGTACATGGGACAAAAGATTTACTTTGCCATGCTAATCTATTCTGTCAGTTTTGGGCCACATTCCTTCTTTACTCAAAAATAGTCCACGACCCAAGATAAACATACATCATTCAGAAGACTCAGCAAATAAATGGGGTCGATCCTTTTTTAACCCAAAAAGAAAAAAAAGTCAAACATACATACATGCACACACAGATATACTATTATTTTATTTATTTCATTTATTTCATTTATTTTTTGATAGGATGTGAAACATATTCTCAAATATAAATCGGGGAAGTATACCATGGCGAAGGCACACAGGATGTCCATAACAGCTGCAACTGACATATGCAATGTAGCAGTCACGTTTGCATAAACTGCAGAGGATGGTGCCATGGGACCTTGAAGAAATCCTCCTACACACCCTGGATTTTATGAGTAACCACCGAGCACAATGGTGGAAGCGAATCAAACTCACAAAAGATATCTTGAGGGAACGGTGAGAGACTGATTCCATGGATGCATGATCTGAATCTTCAAGTTCAATATTTGTATGGAGAAGCATTGCTTCTTTACACAAAAGCTCTTCGTAAGGAAGTAGGGGAACTCTATTGAGAAGAGCATAACGCTGGCTAGCCAGAGCACCCAAAGGAAACCAATTGCTCACAGCGAAGTTCACAGCTTCACCACAATTGAAGCCTTTAGATTTGAAGAGAAAAAAAAATCTGTCACAAACTAAGAAACAATGCAGGTAGTTGGATAAGGAACAAGAAAAACATAGGATAATGATTATAATGTATCACCGTGACTAAAACCAGCATGGTATGCTCTTGGAAAGGTAATAATGAACTCCCCAGGTTTTTGAACAGCCTTGTATACAGGGACTCCGTGTTCGAGCAGAATATTTGGAGGAAACAATGTTGTTTTCCCCGAAAGAATATCAAAAGCTCCATCCTCACTATTTGCTGATAGAATATCATCTTTGTACACATTTTCTCTGACAACGCCCTCAAATCTTAAAGCTGCATCACCAGGAATACAGTACCAAGTTTTCGATGCTCCACAGTGATGATAATTAATACTGCAAGATATGAAAATGCAAGTAAACCACAAAGCAATAACAAAAATAATTATATCATCCGAGGGTAATACTGATTACAAAAAATCCTGACTAGTTGGTAACATGCCTATACAGGAAATGATCCTCCACATGCCAGGCGAATATACTAAACAGCATTCCAATATACAGCATTGGCTCAGTAACTCCCTGAAAGATTCAAACCAAGTCATGTAAGAAACTATGGCTGCAACTTCCACAGTATCATATATAGAAGAAGCAATCTCATTACCGGAATCTCCATCTCTAAATGACGCAAGACAGACTTGGGTAACCATGATAGTTTCTGAAAAAAGAATAGCATATATAAGAATTTATCTCACAGCTGAATTTCATATTTTTATTCAAAAAACTGTGACAAATATCGTGCAATTGATCTTAAATAGGTGATGAGTATAGTTTAAACTCATAATTAAGAATGTACTGAGTCTGATCATTTGAACCCATTTATCTAAACTAAAAACAGAAAAACTACGTAAGTAACTCATCAATAGAAGCAATGTTATCAGATATGTACTGTAATACTGAATCTAATCCCCAAGAGAACTCGTATATACAGTCAGTTGCATTGCAGTGTTAGGATCCCAATAATACTAAACTCAATACATAACTAAATTACAAAATCAGAAAAGAAAGTACAGTATCAACAGCCTTTCAAGAGGGCTATGTCTCTCTCCTAGTCGAACAATTTCCCTCTCTAAGGTCTCTTAATCCCTCTATTTATAACTGAGTCGCCCCTAGCTAATCAATCACCACTATCTCCTATTATTAGTACTCTCACAGAGTGCTGGCTTCTATGAGTCGGCAAGCTCATTGACCATAAAAGACAATCTACATGGGATGCAATTACCTTTCAACTTCCACCATCTGCATATCATGTTAGTCACATTCTGACAATTATCTTTCATATAAACTTAGGTAAAGATTTTTAGGAACAAAATAGAACAAAAGAAGAAAAATGGATAAACCTTCAAATTCCATTTACTTTTCCCAAGCTCATCATTTGGAGAAGACGAAAATG